ATTATGTCGGTTGACGGTATTGCCTTCATCTGCAAAGCAGGTTTTGCTTTAGAACTAAGCGAAAGCCATCAAAAGCGATCGAAAGCGTTTGAAAGCACTTTGAAAGCAGTTTAGAGGCGCTTTCGGTATGGCTCTGGTCACCTCCCCCCATTTTTTGCACATGGAAGCTATAGCTGAGAGTGACAGCTATCGATGGGTACTAGTTTGCGTACCAGAATCACCATGGATGTCGCAAAATCGAGTGGGCGAGGTCGACGCTGCAGACCCCGACCATGCCCGGACCGCGCGTCCGACTCGCGTGAAAGCCGCGTGCCCCCTGCTTTCCAAGCGCTTCAAAAGTGCTTTAAAACCGCTTTGAAACGCTTTCGATCGGTTTTGATGGCTTCCGCCTAATTCCAAAGCCTTTCGGCGCTTTTCAAGCAAAACCTGCTTTGCAGATGTTTGCTCCCCCATCACCCGCAACGAGATCTACCGTCCGGCGCCGTTTCAGCTCCTCCTGCCCGCTTAAATTGTAATATCTTTCTTACTCCATCGCACACGAGAGTGACTGGACATGATGCTGCTGCGCTCAGTGCCAAAGATTCGGGACTGAAACGGCATCGCTTACCAGACAAAACGGACCGCTCGCCTTGTCCATACCGGTACCGTATGATGCACGAAATTCGCGCCCAGCTGGCCCCGCTCATCTCTTGCGGGTTAGCGGACAGCGTCTCAGGGCGAATTATCTCTTAATATCGCTCCCTTGAATATACAATAGGACGCGTTGTCCTGGACTCAGCTCTCCTGGCCGGATCCGCCGGCACGCTTATTGTCTTCAACGGACATCACGACGCGGCACCATTCAGCCACAACGCTATCCAACGCTATCACGCGTAACTTACTTTCTCATCGGGAAGGTGACTGTTTCACGGGACGGGCCAATCGCTCGTCGTTGGTCCCATACAGCGTCCCCCAGATCTGACTTCGGGCGCGCCCAGCCAACCTGACGGACCGGGACCGCAAGTCCGCACGAAACTTTGCCAGGTCCCAATCCGCGCTTTTGTCAGAGGTATAAAGATCCCCGCCTCGGCTTGCTTCATCTCCACCCTCACCGCCCTCCCTCTCTCTCAGCATGCACGCATCCAAGGAGCGCACTTCCTCCCTTTGGCCTTCGGTCATCACCTACGGTAGGCGCCCAAGACGCACGCTCTCATAGACAGCGGAACTGACGCTGGCCATCTACAGCCAAGTCGTGCGTGCAAGCCGTCCTTCGTGATGGCATCCGTCGGGGTCAACTCGTCATCGACGACTGCGATGGCACACATACGTACGGCGAATACGACTCGTCGGACAAGCAGGCGCGCATCGTCAGCATTCGTGTGGTCAACGAAGACTTCTACGCTCGCGTCTACCTCCGTCATGACCTCGGGTGTACGTGGGAAATTTCTTATTGTTTCGCCACTCGCGCCTTAACCTTTCTCCCGTCCAGTTTCAGAAGCGTACATGTACGGTGATTTCGAGACTTCTGATCTCAAGTCCATCTTGGATGTACGTGTGCCTGTGCGCTTCGACCGTGTATACCATCTCACGCGTCACCCCGCCTTGCAGCTCTGGTTGGACAACCGTGATCATCTCGCCGGTCTCCAGTCTTACTTCGCCCGCTTCATGACCACCATGTCTGGTCTTGCGCTTCGCATGTTCGGCCAGACGCTCTCTAACGCGAAGTTGAACGCGGTATGTAGTTTTCCTTTCGCACATCCACGCTTTTGTACTTATTGCCGCGTGTAGATCGCGGGTTATGATTGCTGCAACGAGTTGTTCGAGGTTTGTGTCTTGCAACCTTTTCGTACTCTGACAGCAGTTTACTGACCATGTGTTTGTCAGGCTTTCCTCGGCGATTCTATGATGTACTCTTCGGCTCTTTGGCCCGACAGCACCGGTGGCGTGCGTGGCGACCTCGAGATCGACGGTCCTGCGGAGGCGGATCTCGACACAGCGCAGATCAACAAGCTCCACTATCTCCTGCGCAAGGCTCGTGTTCGCCCTGGTGATCGCGTCCTCGAGTTCGGTACCGGTTGGGGCTCAATGGCCATCGAGGCCGCCAAGATGGGATGCGTCGTTGACACCCTCACCCTCTCCATCGAGCAAAAGCACTTCGCGGAGGCCAAGATCGCTCGCCTCGGCCTTTCGGAGCGTATCCGCGTGCACCTCTGCGACTACCGCAATCTCCCCGCCGACTTCGAGAAGGCATTCGACGCTTTTGTTAGCGTTGAGATGGTTGAGGTACGTGCCTTGTTCCGCTCACTCTATTGTTCTTTGCCTTACGCCGCATGGTCAGCACGTGGGCTACCGCTTCCTACCGCAGTACTTCAAGATCATCGACTGGGCGCTCAAGTCGGACCGCGCAGCCGCCGTTGTCACCGCCACGACGCAACCCGACTCGCGCTTCGACACCCTGCAGGCGAGCGACTTTGCCCGCGAGTACATCTGGCCCAACGCTTTCTGCCCCTCGCCCATCTCTCTTGTGCAAATCGCGAAGGACGCCACGAAGGGTCACTTCAACCTCGACAGCGTCGAGGACCACGCCCACCGTATGTCCTTATCTCACATTATTGTTCGTTCATATTCTGACGGCCCTTGCAGACTACCCCCGCACGCTGCGCGAGTGGGGCTACCGCTTCCAGCGCAACTGGAACGAGGATCTCGTCAAGCACATTGTCAAGGCGCAACCGCAACTCGCCAGCCCGGAGGATCTTGCAATCTACAAGCGCCGGTGGGAGTACATGTTCGTGTACGCCGAGGTCGGTTTCGCCCGCGCGTATACATCCATGACCTACTGGACTTTCGTCCGTCCGGTATGTCACCATATCTGCTCTTCTGTTGAGCTTCCTCTGATCGTCCCTGCAGGAAAATGTTGTCGAGCGCTGCGATTAGACGCGCGCTATCACTCCTTTCTCGTCCTCATCTCAGTCCTCGCCGCTCACTCCTGTCTCGCTGCCTGTATCCCTCGTGTATCACCACCTTCATTCCTTGCATCTCGACCCGTATGACTGAATCCATCTCCATCTCGTCGGCGCCGCGCTTCGCCTTACGCCGGGCCTTTGTACCATAACTTATCCTCTTTGTGCCCTACACTTCGCATTTCCCCTTCGCTCGTCCCTCCTTGAGGGCTGCGACCATTGCTTTCCCCAGTACATGACTGTACATTCTAGTCACTCTCCCTGATCCTATTCATTAGCTATCGCGTATGCTCTTAACCCCTCCTATTCGTTCACCCTGTAGCGTATCGTAGCTATATGCCTTATCTAATGCATAGGCTTCTATGCGTTCATGCTCACTTCTCGTGTGATCCGGTGTGGCGGAGGCCAAGTCGCGGTTCATAACGCTTATTATGTCTTGCATCATTCCGGGTAAGCGCGGAACACTGGATCTTAGCGCGTGGTATCTCCGAGCTTAAGATGAGCGCCTCTCGCGAAGTTCATGTCGTTCTGAACGTATCACAATTGAAACAGCGAAACTTCGCCAAGGCGGCCGGACAGAGGGTCTCCGTGTACGACAGAGTCTCCGTTTAGAGTATCCGACCTGACAGCTCGTTCCCACTACCCAGGAGTCAAGCAGGTGCCGGCTGCACAACGTACCATTTATTCCACACAAGCTCGGGATCCCACTTGCGCTTGATCTCACGCAAGCGAGGGTAATGTTCGCCAAAAAGGGAAAGGCTCTTGTCTTCTTTCGTCTTCTCGCCCGTTACCGCGGTCGTTACATCATCCGCTACAACCTCCTCGGCCACTGGAGCGCATGCTTTAGCTCTAACAAGAGAGTTGGTGAGAAGACAGACGCACAGTAGTTGCCGTATCCGGTGTTCGTGCTCTTGTTCACGCCAGCGTCGCTTTCCACGAGGGTTTGAAGAAGTTCGTTGGCTATCGTTCGTACCTTGCCCAATTTCGCGTCGGCATCTCCATCGTCCTTCCATGCCATCATACACAGCGTGCTGACGACTGGTGCGCGCACATGAGCCGTTGTATCCGGTGATATGCTCATGGTCTTGCCGAGCGGGACATACTCAAACGCCAATGTCGGTGTCAGAGAAAGCGCATTCCAAGTGTTCAAGTTGGACGTGATGTATGAAAGGACGGATGCAGCGGCTTGGAAAGAAGGTGCGGTGACGAAAAGGCCTTTCATATAGTAATGTTGACCATGAGGGACCTGCGCGTTTTGTAGACCATTGAGCTGTTCGTAGGGTATCTCAGCGCAAGTATCGACGACGGGCCCTGATTGAATAGTCAAATTAAGCATCGCGTAGTACAAGATGATGTCTGAGAGCTGAGCGTACCGAGCTCGAAGAAGGGCTTGAAGTGCGCGCGCCCTTCTTCCTCTGAGCCGTTCCAGAAGAGCGCAAGCACGCATGCGGGCTGGAGCTCCTTGAGCTTCCAGTCTCTCCTGTCAATCACTGTAAAGGACTCACATTCCCATCCGGCCCGAGCGTCAAGAACTGAATGATGCTTTCTTGCACCGGGGACCCCTTCCACCAGCCCTCCATCACCTCCATAACACCATTCAATGTCTCTATTGCTCCGGGGTACACCACCACACCGGCGAATATGGTGCGCCTCTGAGTATGCATGGTCAACTCAAACTCGACCACAACCCCGAAGTTACAGCCGCCGCCTCGAATCCCCCAGAATAGATCCGGGTTATCTTGCGCGCTCGCGCGTACGATCTCGCCAGATGCAGTGACGACCGTTGCGGCATAAAGGTTATCGACAGCAAAGCCATGTTCGCCGCTCAGGTGTCCGAAGCCACCCCCGAGCACAAGTCCTCCGACTCCACTGCGAGTTGTCAAGTTAGCAAGCGTCTCTTGATGATGCAGATGAAACACGCACGTATGATTCACTGTGCCTCCAACAGTCGCAAGTCCATATTTCATTCCTTCTTCATCTACATCCTTCCATACGGCACCTCCACCAACGTAGGCTAACTTTGCGCCGGGGTCGACGCGAACGTGATTGAAGTGCACGCTCAGATCTATCACGATCCCGCCTGCGGAGGACGAGGCACCCGCCGTACTGTGTCCACCCCCGCGCACTGCAAGCGGAAGACCATGAGCGCGTGCATGGGTAATCGTGGCCGCTACATCTTCTGGTGTTCTGGGGCAGGAAACGACAGCTGCGGGGCGCTCGGCGTTCTTCGCCCATCGAGCGATGAGGGAGGAGTAGGATGAATGCGCAGCAGTAACCCAATCACCGGTAAATGGGTTAGGAGCCGAGAAATTTGAGACCATGCTGTATGCAGTATGTGGAGACTGAGCTCTGAAGGCTCACGAGGCTGCGGGGAGATACAACATTAACCGGAGAAAACTCAGATAGTGATACACCTTAAGTAGGAGCGAAGAACCCAAGATATAGTCAGGACTACGCAATGGGGCGCATGCCTATCGCCCTTCGGGATGAGAACTCTCCCAGAGGATGGGACAGTGATTCACATCGTAGAGTGAGAAGGGAAGGAAGGCGGACCGCGGCTGGATACTACTGTATGATGACGCGTACTGGCATTGTAACTCAACGCGCTTATACGGCCATCGACGTCTAGACTTGATCTTGGCCTGGCAAAGACTCGAAGACAGGCATCGTTGGTGTGGCAAAGAATGTTCATAGACCGTACTCATGAGCCTGCGAGGTGGTGGTGGGAGGATAAGCGGCCACCGCGATTGTAGCGGTGTGAACGTCAGTCGGAGATCGGGCCGATCCCGAGCCAGCCAATTATATTTCCGCTCTGGCGAATAATTGGGATCCAGGCTTAGCGACTACATACTATACATTCAAGAGTAGCCATAGAAAGA